GGGGGAGGGAAGGGGGGAGGGAAGGAGGACGGTAGGGGCGAGGACAGGAAACAGGAGAGGGGCGCGAGGCAAGGGGGAAGCGTAGGCATGCATGCAGGCAGGTAGGTAGACAGGTGAGCAGGAGGGTTGGGGTTCACAAAAGCAGCAAACACAGGGAGGGGGAAGGCGGAGGGGAGGAGGAGGAGAGGGAAGGGAAGGGAAACGGTAGGGCCAAAAGCGGGAAACAGGAGAGGTGAGGGAGGCAAGGGGGATGGTAGGCATGCGGGCAGGCAGGTAGACCGGAGGGCAGGTAGGTAGACAGATGAGCAGGGTTGGGTTTCAAAAAAAGAGAAAACAGGAGGGTGAAGAGGGAGGGAAGGAGGAGGAGGAGAGGGAAGGGAAGGGTGATGGTAGGGGCAAGAGAGGGAAACAGGAGAGGGAAGGGAGCCAAGGCGGAGGGTAGGCATGGGGAAAGGGGAGGGTAGGGATGAGGAACGGGGAAGAGGAACGGAGGGAGGAGAAAAAGGGTATGGTTTGGGTGGGGAAGTAGGAACGAGGGAACGAGGAAAGAACACCGTAAAAACTCCGTTTTTTGTACGTAATGAATTTGCCATTTTGCATCATATCGAGTCGGCAATTTACGCCTCCCAAAAAGGGTTTGTGTTTTCTGTGTGGCTGGCCAATCACTAACCCATACATCGGATGAAGTAGCCATCCGAAAAAAGACGTATCATTTTTAATTGATTTTTTCATCTTGAATGGTGAAAGCTGGACTTCCTTATATCCACGGGAAATTCTAAGACTTCAGCGAAAAAGTCTGACAAAAATGTGAAACGCTTACAAGAAGATTCCGCAAAAAAGAAATGCTCATTTCATCGCCCAGTTTCTACCAATATTTGCGAAATGTATGAAAGGGGATTGGAAAACACAAACTAATAGACAAGCGGGGAGATAACGAGGATAACGTAGACAATGGTAAACTTGGGCAAAACCAAATGATGGACAACCGATGTCGCAGCAGCTAAAGAAAAATTCCAGAATTGTCGGACATATTCTGGCAAGGAAAAAAAAAAGAAAAAAGAAAGCAGTATGTCCTGTGAACTGCCTTGGCTGACAAGACTGACAAGTCCTAGGGAAGCTGAGTGGAAACAAGAAGTGAGAATGAAGTATAGAAGAGGGGAAGTGGTCGGGAGAGGGGAAAAGGGAGAGGAAAGAGAAATGAGAAATGAACTGCTGGAATAATGGTCCAGAATAAAACAACAACCCTATCCATTCAAGATGCCATAATGAAAAGATATGGCATTTCTTTCGTGGAAGAGCTAAATCATGAGGACGATCCACTAAAACGATATGCTAGTGCATGCCATCTCTCTCTCTCTCTCTCTCTCTCTCTCTCTCTCTCTCTCTCTCTCTCTCTCTCTCTCTCTCTCTCTCTCTCTCTCTCTCTCTCT